GGCCCCGCCTCCACCGCCCCGCCCCGCCCTCTGCTGCTCACCCCGCCGCGCCCTCCTTCTCCAGCTTCTCGATCATGGCCTTGCGCGCCTGGGAGGCTGATGTTTTGGGCAGACTCTGCGCCTTCATCAGCTCTTTCTTCTTCTCTGCCTGGCGTTTCTCGAGAGCCGCTAGGCTGCCGGGCCGCGGACTGGCCTGGTCCTCGCGGTCGAAGATACTGGTGGGTGGGGAGGCAACTAATTGTTAGGCCGGCAGGCTCCTGAGATTCTGCCACCACTCGCCGTGAGAGGGGTCTTATTGAGCGCCAGATCACCCTTCCCTGCGGTATCTCCACAACAGGCAACGCTGACCAGCGAGGGAGGCATCCCCATCACACCCATTTTACAGAGGGATACACTGAGGCTCAAACGACAGGAAGATGGGAGCCAAGCTCTTTTCATAAGGCTTGGCCCTCGAGGAATTCTCAGAGAAAGTGCGTGTATCATCAACTTACAGGTGAGTTCAGATTCTGGGCACTATCAACTAATAAAAATGACCAGCATAATTATAGTAATGGTAATAATAATAGCTCATGTCTGCTGAGTCTTTCCTGTGTGCCATTTTAAACTCCACAAGAGGACAGAGGGACACTTACTATTTCCACTAAAGATGAGGAAACTGGTGCCCCTGGCAGTAACTGGCCTAAGATTTCAGAGGACATGGGGAGCAGAGTTGGAACTTGAATGCAGATTTCTGACTCAGGGTCCCCGGGCCCCTCTGGTTCCCAGACTGGATTCTGATCCTGTCTCTGCTTTCTGCCAGCCCCAACATCCCCTGTAACATGGGGTTATTCCCTCATGGGACTAAGGTGTAAAGGTGCTCTGTGACCTGGGATGTGGTCTGTAGACATAGGGAAGTGGCAGTGACACCAGGCAGCTCAGTGTGGCAGATAGGCCTCTCTAAGGGGTCAGTGCTATTGCTGCCACTCAGAGCTGTGAGAGACCCTGAGCAAGTGTCCGGCCTTCCCGAGCATCCACCTCTCCCATGGTGCGGTTGAGGATTCAGTGAGATCGCAGAGCAAGCAGGAGTGGTCTGGCTCTCACTGTTCTCCTCCCCAGCTGTACACCTGTCACTTCCCAGCATCTCAGTCTATCCTTTTGCAGAATGGTTACGCAGCGAGGTCCACTGTGGCACTGACTCTTCTGGGAGTGGGTGCCCATGCTCACCTGCCCATTTTCTTGGATGATGATGAGGAGGAAACAGTCTTGGTTTGCACCATGGTGCTGCCGCTGCCATCTGCAAAAAAGAAAGGGGAGCGGGGTGAGGGCCTGGGCTGGACATAAGGAGATGGAGTGAGAACGATGGTGATAGCTACAGGCAGAGAAGAGAAAGTAACGGCACAGTTGAAGACACAAAGACCCGGAGAGAGAGCTTGAAGAAGAGCCCGAGGAGGCAGACAGGCAGGCACAGGGCAACACCAGGTGGCCTTACTCTCCGATCGCCTCATGAAACTTGACTCCACTGTGGTGGTGCGGGCCGTCCGTGTGCCATCATCTGGGGGAGTAGAGGATGAGAAGGGTGTGAGAGGCACAGGGGGTCAGTGGGGAGGATGCATTCCCAACCTGAACCCCAAGTCCCACTCGGCTCCTTACTGGAGTGGACGAGCCGCTCAGTCTTGGTAACAGTGCTGACAGCTGAACCATCAGCTGCCCGCTGGCTGTGCCGCGTGGTGGTCTCGGTGGCCATTTTGCTGCGGCCCTCCCCTGGCCGGGCCCGTGCCTCCTGCAGCCGCCGTTCCCGCTCCTTGTCCCGCTGGTCTGGGCGGGAGATGCCCCATGCATGCCCGAAAGGCCGCCCAATGCCCACACAGCACATATGCACAGGCACATGGGGCACACAAGATGGGGTGGAGGGCAGCTGGTTAGAAACACTAATGACACTAGTGACAAGGGCCTCTCTAGGAGCAGTTGGGGGTGAGGGGACAGCCATAACTTGGCAGGGAGTGGGGTGTGTGGGAGGCAATGAACTCAGGCAGAAACTAGGGAATATGGAATAGCTCATCTCAAAAGGGTATTTGGATCCAAGAAGGGAGTTTCTACGGCAGGGAGTGGGGTGTGTGGGAGGCAATGAACTCAGGCAGAAACTAGGGAATATGGAATAGTCATCTCAAAAGGGTATTTGGATCCAAGAAGGGAGTTTCTACGGGAATGAGTAGCTGGGAATGAGTCAAGAGGGAGTATCTAGACCTAGGGAGGGAGTAGCTGGGTCCAGGGAATGAGAAGCTGGGTGAGGGCCGTAGCTGAGTGGGCCATCAAATGGTTCCTAGCAGGGAGAAGAGCAGACAGAGAAAGAGATATCTAGATCTAGGGAGGGAGGAATTGGAAGAATCTGAGAAGCAATTTGATCCAAGGAAAGAGTAGCTGAGAGAAAAGCTGGTGATGGGGGTTAACTGGGCCTAAAGAAGTAGGTGAGTGGAGATGATCCAAGGAAAGAGTAGCTGAGAGAAAAGCTGGTGATGGGGGTTAACTGGGCCTAAAGAAGAAGTAGGTGAGTGGAGAGAGAGGCTGGGGTGGCCATCAGTGGGCTCTGGAGGAAGCAGCTAGGTTCAGAGAGGGAGTAATGAGATTCTGGAGAAGCAAATGAATCTGGAATCTAAGGGAAAGAACAGCTGTATCCAGGAAGGAAGTATCTGGGGGAGGAAGTAGCTGTGTCCCGGAAAAGGGGAAGCTGGGTGGTGGCAGAAGCTAAGGTGGCCATCAGTGACGTCAGGGAGAGAGGAACAGCTGGAAGAAGTATCTGGATTCAGGGAAGGGTTGGTAGTGGACAGTGCTTGCAAAAGCAATTGGATCCAAGGAGAGAGTAGCTGGGGGAGGGAATAACTGGGTCTAGGAAGGAGAAGAGAAGCTAGTTGTGGAAAGTAACTGGTGTGGTCAGGAGGAGAGAAGCAGTTAGGGAAGGGGGAGCAGCTGGCTCCAGGGGGAAAGAGGCAAGGGTACAGCTGGGTCTAGAGAAGAGAAGCTGGCTAAGGCATTTAGTGATCCGGAGTGTCCACAAATGGACTCTAGAGTGAGGAGAAGAGCTGGGGAATGGAGCAGTTGGATCTAGGGTAGTGGAACAGCTCTCTACCTCTCTTTCTTTGTCGGAGCTCACGCAGTGCTGACCGGATGAGCTTCCGCTCCTCAAAGTCTGTGGTTTGATCCAGCTGCAGATAAGAGCCCCTGTCATTGCCCACCTCATGCCTGCCTGTCCGCATCTCCTGCCAGCCCCCAGCCCATCAGATCTAGCCATACCATCTTGTCCAGGACGCCTTCATCCTCGATAGCCATCAGCTCCTCGGCGCTCAGTGAGCTCCGCCCCTCTGGTGCTTTTTCCACCCGGGTCTGCTCGGTGCCATTAGCCGCTTCCACTGCCACAGAGGGGGGCTGCACTGGCTCTGGCTCCATCTGCCAGGTGGGGAGAGGGCATGGACTTTAAGTAGGGGTATGGGTGAAACCCACCATGTCCCCAAGGGACAGGGGACCAGATCCTGAGGTTGCTGTTACAGCCTTGGAAATAACCACTAGCCTGCCAGCCTGTCTGCCCAAGGCTGGCCATGCTGGTATCAGGAAGAGACACTGACAGCCTTGTTGTAGGGCTTCCCACATATCCAGAATAGTATTAATACAATTGATAGTGGCAATAATAATGATTTCCATTCAGTAGTAAGCATTGTATAAGCACTAGGGATTTTACTGTCCCTATTTATCAGAAGGGAAAACTGAGGCTCAGCGTAGATGGATGACTTGCCCATAGTCCCTCTGTAAGTGCGATGCAGCTTGGGGTCTGAGCTGAAGATAGTTTAACTCGTGAGCCTAAGTTCTTTCTGTGGCTTCATTCCCAGCCCCCTTCCAGGCAGGCTCTGCTCTGTCCTTCCAGTTCCCAAGGCCTGGGTCCTCCTGGGTTAGTGCCCAGGCAGCACATGCCCCCCCCCACTTGCCAAGGGGGATGGACCAGGGCCCATAGACTACTGCCAGGTGTCTGACTGAGGCTGCCCTGAGCCAAGACCTCTCTGAAGCTCTCCTCTGTTCCCCCTGCCCTCCACCCTGCCCCTGCTGAACCATACTCTAAGGGGCCTCCAGCCCCAACCTAGTCCCCCACCCCTCCTAGGGCATCTCCCCAGCCCCTTGATGACAAAGCCCCAGCCCAACTATTACAGCCCCTCCTCTCCTGGCAGGGCCTCTCTGTCTGCCATAATGGTAAGGAGAGCCGAGGTGGCAGCTGTTTCAGGGAAGCTCGGCCTGGCTGGCGTGGGGGGAGGTGGGGGTGGGGCTGGGGCTGGGCCATGCCAAGGGCTGCCAGGGCAGCCACCACACGTGCCTCCAGGCTGGAGCCTGGCACCCTCTTGCCCCAGTCTTAGAGCACTAGTACCCCAGTCTCCTTTACAGATAGGTAAATGGAGCCTCAGAGAAGGTGGTGGCACACCTAAGGTCACTCAGCAGAAGCAGAGACTGTCTCAAAACCATCCCCTCCCACCAGCCCAGAGGGACTTACGAGACTGCTGCTGCGAGCGGGGCCGGCAGAGGAGCGGCGGCGGGTACTGAAAGCAGGCGGGTACTGAAGGCGGGCGGGTGGGCCACGGGGGTCCCGGCATCCTCGGCTGCTTGGAAGAGGGCCTCGGGGTCGGCAGCAGCTAGAAGCAGCTCGCTGGGCTCCAACTCAGGCTCGAGGTCAGGCACAAGTGGGACCCCCAGCCGTAGGCTCAGCACCTCCACCTGCCTGCCCAGTGCATCCAGCCGCCGGCTCAGTGCTGCTGTCTCCGCCCGCAGCTCTTCGGCTGCCCGGGCCACTGGCTCCACGGCAGCCACAGCTGCTTCGGCTGCCTGGGTCACTGCTGCCCGGCCTGCCTCAGCCACTGCCTGCAGCTCCTCCAATGCCTGGCCCGGGCCACTGGCTCCACGGCAGCCACAGCTGCTTCGGCTGCCTGGGTCACTGCTGCCCGGCCTGCCTCAGCCACTGCCTGCAGCTCCTCCAATGCCTGGCCCAACTGCTCCTTGAGGGCTGTGGCCAGCTCAAGCCCAGGCCCAGGTACCCCCGGCATGGTGCTGGTGAGGGCTCTATGGGGGGTGATGGTGGGACAGTGGTAGGGGCTGCTGCCTCTGGCTGGCAGTGTCTGAGTCTTTGCAGCTGGTCTGAGGGCGAAGGCAAGGGCAGCGGGCCTGCCCCGCCCCTGCTGGCCTCCCAGCCCGCCAGCAGCCAGCTGGAGCTGCAGCCCAAATAGAAACCTATTCTGGGCTCCTCCATGGAGGGGCTTGTGGGGGAGGGGTTGCCTGCTCAAGTAGGCGGACGGCCAGTCCTGGCCCTGGCCCTGCAGGGATCACAGACCTGCAGCACAGCAAGACTGACAGGTTTTGAAGGATTACTAAGACCAGGGCCCCATGCCTCATAGGTGGGGAAACTGAGGCAGAGAACGGGGAATGGGCCTGTCTGAGCCACCATGTACATTAGCTGTGAGGATCCAGTCTGCCAGACTCCACAGAACTACACTCCTTCGCCCTCATGCCTTGCCCTCATTCCTTGGACAGAAGGGGGAAATGGAAGGCACAGGGAGGTGGGACTTTAGGCAACCTGCAGTAATCAGTGTCTTGGCCTGAGACAAGCATCCTCTGGCTTGTCCAGGGTGCTCAGATCCAATCACAGACTTTGAGCAAGTATGTTATAGGCACATCATCTGCTCCCACCCCTCGTTTCTAGATGGGGAAACTGAGGCAAGTTGGTGGTGTCAGACTCAAGTCTCACTGTTGCTCCTCCCTATCCACCCCAAGGGGCTCAGCTGGTCCCCCTCTCCCCGCCAATCCCTTGGCAGAGAGCAGGTGCTGGTTTGTTGGAGGAAAAGTGCTTTCCTTCCCCCACTCTCCCCCTGTCACCCCTGAGAAGGCCCAAAGCTGGCTCTAGCCACCTCACCTCAGCCAAAGTCCCATTCAGTCCCTGTATCAGCATGGAGGGCATTACCTGGGTAGCCGGGTGTCCTGCAGGGGATCCCTTCCCCAGCTGAGCTCCCAGCCAGCCAATCTTGGGCTTGGGAATGAATAATGGAAGGGTGCTGTGTATTCAGTTCCTGTGGCACCTGCTAGGCTGCTTGCTGCCTCCACCTGACTGGTGCCCTGCTGCCTGTCTATCCCCCATCAGTGCTTCTGCCCAACCCCCACAGGGAGGTTGACGCAGATGCTAATCGCTAATCTCCAATCTCCTAATGGGCCAGGCTGATCTTGGATGAGAAGATGAGCTGCTGTACAGCTCAGGGCTGATATCCACCATGCGGTAGGAACAGGGCACTGGGGCTGCCACAGGAAGAAGGGAGCAAGCCCCTATCGCCCTCTCTGAGCCTCAGTTTTCCCACCTGTTCATTTGGAGTGAACCAACCAATTTTGGAGTAAGGGTCAGAGCTCAGCTGGTGGGAAGCTTAGGCGAGTACAAAGTGAGTTTCTGACATGCCTTGTGACTGATATGTATGCTAGCGTCTTGCCCTAGCTCTGCCACCAACTGGCTGTGGACTGGGGGCAGACACCTTCCCTCTGTGGGCTTAGTACTTCTGTTTATGCAGTGGAGAAGGAGCAGAGTAGAGGAACCCTGCTAGCCCTGTACCCTTAGGCAGTCTATGTGAGGTGCATGGATGATGAGACTGGTGGGGTGAGGAAGGGCTCACCTTAATGCTGCAGCCTCCTCGGCTACCAGGGGAGGCATGGCTGAAGCTGGTGACGTGAGTGACACTGCCTAGACGGGCCAGGCTCCCAGGGCTGCTGACATGAGTGATGGTACTCTTGCCCCCACTGTTGGTGCTGAGGAGGTTGGAGGGCGCCCGCAGTCCCAGTGTCAGTTCTGGGTGGGGAGAAGGGCAGTTGTCAGGGTCAGGTAGGGCGAGGGCAAGCGCCACCTAAGGTTGATAGCACCCCTCATTCCCAGTGCACCCTTTGGAGACACCCTGAGCCCTGGCTGCAACATCTGTCTTACATGCAGAGCTGGGTGGCTGCAGGCACTCATCTGCAGCAGTGAGGGGGCAGTGGGGAGGCCTACCTGCCCTCTGGTTGCCTGTGGGCAGCAGCACCCGGCCCGTGGAGGCCTGGCCACGGCCATCCTTGATCTCGATGGTGAATGTGGTCTTCATACTACCCCCTGGCTCGGCAGTGCCCACGGCCACGGGCAGCAGGGCACTGGGTTCCTCTGAGCGGGCCATGGGCCCCCCTGCTCTGTTTTCAAGGGGCCTGGCAGCCAAGCCCCGCCCCCTGGGGCCCTCCTCCTGGGGGCAGCTCTGAAGCTGGGCCAGGGGCTGGGCTGTTCCTCCTTGCTCCTTGCTGAACCGGGAGGAGGAGGTGTCACTGGGACCTCTAGAGGAGGAGCCACTGGAGGAGGAGGAGGCAGGGGTGGTGCTGATGAGGGAGGGGCTGAGGAGCCTTGAGGGGGTTGGGGGACCTAAGGTGGTCCTAGGTGGGCTGTCCTTGAGCCTGGTAGCCAAAGGAGAATCGGATGTGAACTTGCGGACACGGTCCCGAACAGAGCCAGCCCGCTGGAACAGGGAAGGTCCGCTGGCAAGGGGGGTGGACTCTAGAAGGGACAGGAGGGTTGTTACTGGCTGGGTGGGACAGGGACTGCCCAAAGCCTGGGGGTGGTGAGAATAGGCAATACCTTGATTCTGGGCTGGCTGGCGGGGGCTGAGCACGGACAGGGAGCGTTGGCAGGGTCGGGGTCCAGCCAAGTCTGGCAGGTTGGAGAGGGGGTAGAGGCCATGTGGGAGAAGAGAAAGGAGAGTGGACGGTGGGGGGTCTGCCTCTCACATTCCTCTTCTACACAGCTCTCTAGCGTTCCACCCCCTTCTTATACCTCAATCTCCCTAGTCTTCCCATCCCCTCCAGCATCTCCCACAGCTCCGGCTTCACCACTCAGCTGCATGTCTCCTATGGGCACCTCCTTCCCCTTGTGCACTGACCCCGGGATGACCTGGACACTCCTGGGGACTGGGGCTAGGCTTGGGCTGGAGGAAGGGTGCCCAGATTCTCCCTGCCCTTGGGGATGGTGGACAGCCCCCCTGGCCAGCACTGCCCATGTCTCCAGCTGGGAGATGGGTGCACTCCCTTATTGGGGAGAAGAATGTGCCTGAGGCCTGTTGCCTTTCAAGGCTGTGGGGAGGCCTCTGGTCATGGGTGGGGGGGTAAGCCTGGCTGGGGGCGGAGATATCTCAGGGGCAGTGGGAGGGGGATGTCTGGGACAGCCTGGACCTGAAGAGGCTGGAGCTGTCCAGGCACAAGAACCCATTCTCCAGGCAGGGAAAGGGAGGCTGGGGGAGGGGAAGGCAGATGCCTGAAGCTAATCCCTCTGGGACCCTCACCTGCTCTCTTTGTGTTGGAGGGGTCTCTGGTGGGGCCCTGGACAGCAGGGGGCTCTGTGGAGCCAGGCAGGAGCTGCAGGGAAGACATGGCATGAGCTGCAGGGAAGACATGGCATGAGCAGGGCCTGACTCCCAGACCAAGGAGCTCACCTGCCTGGTATCCCAGCTCTTGTCCAGACTCACCTTGTTGACCACTTGCCCCTCAGTGCTGGGGGGTGCTGGTGACTCCCGGGGCTCAGGGCTTGTGGTCTCGGGCAGACTAGGGGGTGGCTCAGGACTGCCTGGAGCCTTGGCTGCAGGGCACTGGGCCTCAGCAGGCTCCAGTGGAGGCTCAGGAGAGGCTGTGGTGGGTGAACTGCTGTCAGGTGAGGCAGATGAGCTGGGTGTGCCCCCAGGCGGGGCCTGCAGCAGGAGTGTCACTGTGGTCACATCCTGGCTGGTGCCCTTGGGGGTTGGGGTTGGTTCTGGGACCTCTGCCTGCTGTTCCTGTTCCTCTTGCTCTGGTACCTGCAGGAGACCCACAGGATGTGACCAAGGCTTCCCAGGCCTTGAGTGCTACCCCCATCCACTGAAGGCCAGGCTGACAGGTGCCCAGGGCAGGGCATGCAAAGCAGAGGGACTGGGCATGGCTTCCTGTGGGCACACCTGCATAAGCACGGGCATTGGCATACCAGGGGCAGTCTCTGATCCCCACTTCCCAACCTCTTGGCACTGCCTAGACAAACGTGGTTCAGAGAGGATCTGGTCCTAATGTCAGCGGTTGTGAATGGTAGGAGACCTGCTGGGGATTTCCAGCCTTAATGGATCCCTAGTGGGGTGGCTGGTTAGCTCACTTGGTCAGACCATAGTTCTCAAAACACAATGACAAGGGTTCAGATGCCCGTATTGGTCAGCCACCACAAAAACAAAGCAAAAAACAGATTCCTGGAGTGCAGGCCCCTGACCTCTGGCCTCAGCCTGGTTCATCAAGGAATGGAGGTGGGGGCCTGCCAAGACTGGAGACCCAGCGGCCTCTGCTGGCCACTTGGGAAACTAGCATGTCTGACCTCTCACTCCCACTGCCGGGAGAACAGAGAGGACTCTTGTGAACAGTGCTGCTCCATGAGTCAGCTGGGACCTGACATGTAGGTCCTGGTGAGACAAGGTAAGGATGTGGGCTATCTGGAGGGTAAGGGGCAGCCTGGGGATGGGTTTAAGCAGGGGAGGTACCAGGGCCAGATCTTCATTTCCGGGAGATCCTTCTGGCTGCTGAGTGGAGACTGGATGGCAGGGATGGGGGTGGAAGGTAGGAGTGGAGGTGGGAGAAGTGCCTGTGTATCAACAAGGGTGTTCATGGTAAAGGGACAGGAACTTGACAGTAGCACAGACAGGCTGGTTTGGAGAGGAATGCTTGGGTAGAAACAATCTAGAGTGAGGGACATGTGGCTAGAGGTTGCCCAGGAGAGTGGACAGAGGCCTAAGATAGAGCCTTAGTGTCGCCCAAACACAGGCTGGCAGGGCCCCTCACAGTCAAATACATTCTAGCAGACACACAGGTGCTCTGTGCTACTGGCATCCATGGGCACAAGACAGTGGACCAACTTCCCACTCTGCCCGTGCTCCTTACCTCATGACAGTCCAGCCTGTGCACTGCCCGTCCCTTGCTGTCCTCTCTTGAGCCACTGTTGGGACGCCCGCTGTACAACCTTCCAGCCAAGGTGGCAGCTGGAAGGGAAGGGGCAAGTGCCAGGTGAGTGGCCAGGAGGTGCTGTGGGCAGCATATAGCAGGGCAGGGGTGGGGCCAGGACAGGGCACATACCCTCAATCTCCTGAGCCCGAACTCGGCGGATGGCGAGCGGGAACCGGTCTGTATGTGGGATCCGAACCCTCGGACGGGAGCGCCGCCGCGCTTCTGCGCCACCGGGCCGGCCGCCCCTCACAGTCAAATACATTCTAGCAGACACACAGGTGCTCTGTGCTACTGGCATCCATGGGCACAAGACAGTGGACCAACTTCCCACTCTGCCCGTGCTCCTTACCTCATGACAGTCCAGCCTGTGCACTGCCCGTCCCTTGCTGTCCTCTCTTGAGCCACTGTTGGGACGCCCGCTGTACAACCTTCCAGCCAAGGTGGCAGCTGGAAGGGAAGGGGCAAGTGCCAGGTGAGTGGCCAGGAGGTGCTGTGGGCAGCATATAGCAGGGCAGGGGTGGGGCCAGGACAGGGCACATACCCTCAATCTCCTGAGCCCGAACTCGGCGGATGGCGGCTCGGATCAGCTTTCGTTCCTCATACTCACCAGCAGCTCGCAGCTGTGGGTGAGAGGCAGGCCACGGGGGTCGGGCTGTGGAGTCCAGGTCTTCACCTGCCCTGCCCCCATCCCCTGCCCTGGCCTGGGCCTCACCAGTGCAGTCAACTCCTCCACATCATTCATGGACTCCAGCTGCCCTGCCAACCGCGCCAGGGCAGCCCGCTGCTCGGCTTCCCGCTGCTGAGAGCTGTAGAGACATCACGACTGTAAACACCACTGCCATGGCCGGGTTGTGGAAGGATGTGGGCTAAGGGTAGAGGCCAGGATAGGGTACCCAGAACCTTGGCAGAGAGCTATGTAGCTATGCACACCCTCTGACTACACACGGATACATGCATTCCCATGGACGTGGGCACTAATACTACATACTCAGATGTGCTGTCCATACTGGCATGGCCAAGACACCATGATCAGCACATGGTCCATGGCCATAAACAAACCTGTGAATTCTAAAAGTGTGCAATACTTCCATGTGCACACACATACGGTTAGCACTCACCTGCACTCACACTTGCCTGCACACATGAGCTGAGCCCTGGCACACATTCAGTCTCCCACTTGCACGTCCAACCCCCCAGCACTCACTGCAGCCAGTTCTCCTTGTTGTCCTGCCTCTCTGCACGGAAGCGCTTGGATGCCAGGGCCTCCTCCTCTCGCTCCAGCTCCTGCCGCTGCAGCTCCCGGATGGCTGAGCGGATGCGCCGCCGCTCTGCCAGATCCGCTGTAACCTCCAGCTGTAGGGCAGGCGGGGGCGAGGGGCAGATCATTTTGGCTGCCAGGGGCAGAGGGCTGGCGCCAGCTGCCCACAGCTCTGCCTAGGGCACAATGGGTGGCCTGTCTCCACTCCCTCTGCCCCAAGCTTTTCACGTGCCTGCCCACCCACCTAGAGTCTTAGGGAGAGACTCAGCTCATGCACCAGGGCTCCCGGGGAGCCCACTGTACATCGTGGTTCATGGTTCGCAGAGTACCTACTGTGAATGGGCAGCCAGCAACCACTCACCCGTGTCTGGTGCCATGCATCCAGGCACTCTTGCCTGCGACTTGACTCCTGCCCCTCAGAGCCCTTCATCAAACCCCAAGAATGAGGGAGCCATTGAGGAAGCAGAGGGAGGTCACCCTGTGGGCCACTAACAGTATCCCTGGAGAGGGAAGGGTGATTCGGGAAGCTGGAGTCCACCCTGTGAGCAAGGGAGACTCACATGGTCTAGTCCTAGAGCACCACAGCCCTGCTGGGGGTTAGCAGCCTCATTCACATCGGACACATGGGGAAACTGAGGCAGGGGCAGGTGCTCAAGAGTCCTAGCTTCCTGTCTGGCTGGGGGCTACTTTTTTCCCTGCACTGGCCAACCCCTGGCCACCATTGAAGGAGTCAGGGCCCAAAGTGGGAGGGCCAGCCTCCCAGACAGATAAGGTAGCTGGTACTAGGGGCTATCCAGGGCAATAGAGAGGGCATTCACGTAAAACAGGTGCTCCCACCAGCTTCTCAGCCCCTCAGGTCCAGGAAAGGGCACCTTCTCTAGGTGGAGTCAGTCAATCCTGTTGCCTCTCCCACACCTCCACCTGGTAGATCCTCTGTACCTCAAAGGAGAGGACTGGCCTAGTGACCCCCAGGAAGGTAATGGCAGAGATATGCCTCCAGTGTGGGTCTGATAGCCAGACGGGAGCTAGCGAAGACAGGGTGATTTCCTCTGTCTCCACCCCCAAATCCTTAAGGAGTAGGGCCAAGGAACCCTCTATCCTCTTCCTTTTTAGCCTCCTCCCACCCATAATTCCTTCCTTCTCAGTGGGGGAGCCAGGTGGCAGGGGTGGGGCAGAGATAGAGAAGTTTCAGCAGGGAATTGACTCAGCCATGAGTCAACTTGTCCTAGTCTGAAGAGAGGGGGTAGAGTCTTGGGGGACAGAGCCCTCCAGGCTCCACATTCCTAAGCAGCTGTGGGAGGGTCTCCTGAAGCTCAGGCCACAACTCTAGTCCAATTCTGGCTGGGTGGGCAGGAGCACATCCCTTAACTCCTCTGTATCTTGGTTATCTCATTTGCCAGATGAGACAATGGCCCCTGCCTCGGGGCAGTGGATGGGGACAGAAGCAGTGACTCGGGGCCTAGGTACTTATTATCACCATATGACAGAAGAGGAAACAGATTCAGAGAGAAGTGATTTGCTCATGATCAAATGACCTGAGTCAGGATTTGAACACAGGTCTCTCTGACTCTAGGGCCTGTCCTAGACTGAAGATAGTTCTGCTGCTGGGGTCTGTCATGGTGGGGACCTTAAGGACATTGGCACTGTGTGTTGGGGACCCCTGTAGCCCGGACTAGAGATGCCCCGAGGCCTAAGGGGGACTATTATAGCACAGGGAAAGAGAATGAGGCTCATCTCCCCCCCCCCACCAGTCCTAGCTCTGTCTCAGGCCCAGAGCCCCCTGTGGTACACTTGGAAATTGTGGGCCTTAGGGGACAGCCGGTCCAGCCCCTCCTGTGCAGAGGGTAGAGAGGCTCAGAGGTGCAATGACTAGACCTTTGTCTCCTGAGTCCTCATTCCCAATGCTCTGGGCTCCAGAGATGGGATCCTTGTCCCTGAAAAAAAGCCTGATGTGGGAACTTGGCCACCTCTGCAAGCCCTGGGAGCCTCAGTATTCTCATCCGGAAAGTGGGAGCCTCCCTTTGGTTCCCCCCAAGTGGGTGGAGGCAGTGCTGAGGGATGGACAACCTCATTCCATTGGTCATCCTCTGGGACGACCCTTCCCTTTGGGTCTGGAAGAAAAGGTCGGCCAAAGTGTCCCCGCTGTGTGTCCTGCATTCCCCGCCCTCTCCGGGCCCACCGCTGTGTATGGAGTGGGCTGTGGGAGGGAGGGAAGGAAGTACAAAGCGCCATTGTCCACCCAGGGGGAAGGGGAAGGTGATGGGGCGGTTTCCGAAACTGCCTAGTGAAATTCTCCCGGGAGGAAAGAGGGTGCTTCCTCCTCCCGGGGGGCCGGGCCTCCGGGTACTTTCTGCTTTCGCTGCTGGGGGCATCTCTCTGGGCCGCAGTGTCCCCACCAGCACAATGGGGTGGGGGTGGGGGACTGTGCAGGCGTTCGCTCAGTCCCAGCTCCCCCAGTTGCCCGTGGGGACGCAGCGGCAGGGCAGCGAGGCCTCGCCAGGGGGCGTGCTGAAGGCCGCAGGCTCCGGAACTGCCCGCCTTCGCAGGGCTCCGCGCACGCCTCTCCCACCCCGGCCCGCGCTAGGACCTGAGTGGGGAGCCAGACAGGAAGCTCCGCGCTACCGCCTGTTTCAGTGTCCCTGTCTGCGGAGGGGACACCGAGGTTCACAGAAACTTAAGCAGCCTCCTCAGGTCGCCCACCTCCTGAGTGTCGGAGTCCGGACTCGAACTCGGGACCCAGGCGGAGGGCGTCCCAGCATGCGGCTGAGGGGCACGCGGCGTGCATGTCCCCAGGTGCCTCCAACCCGTGCAACCCCCCGCCCCGTCCTCAGGAATGTGCGGGAGCCGTGACCGGAAGTGGCTGCCCCGGGTCCCCGAATCGGCCCGACGCCGGGGCGCAGGGCGGGCGGAGCGGCCGCAGCTTTCCCTTATAAGGCCCGGCCCAGGCGGGGAGGGGCCCGGCTTTGGAGGAGCCGGTCCCGGGGTGGGAAAGACTGGGCAGCACGGCGGTGGCGAGGCAGGGCTCGGGTTCTTCTGTTCGTTCTCTCCTAGCGAGGGGGCGGGAGTGGGCCGATTTCAACTACGGCTCTAGCTTCTCTGAAACCCTTTTCCGGCTCCCCAAACTTGCAGGAGAGTGAGGGGTGGGGGCTGGAGAACCCTGAGCCTCAGTGTGGACCCCTAGACGTGGGGGTGTGCGGGGACCTGGCCTGGCTTTCTCTCTGGAACGCTCTGCTCCTATCATGCCTGTTAGGACTCTGGCTTCCTGAGGGGAGGTTGAGCCGACTGGTGGGCACCTTTGAAAACCTAACCCCATCCACTCCAGGCTGCATACAGCCGGCGGTGGCGGTGCCAGACACCGGACACTGGTCTGAGGACACACGGGCTGAATGCTCTGGGGAGGTCATGGCAGCAGCTGGGTCCCAGCCAGTGGCTGGGCTTGGAGGGCTGGCTCCAGCCTCTGCCTCCAGGGGAATCATATGGGGGTGGGGTGGTCACTTGTCTTCAAGGGAAGGTAAATCTTTAATCACCCCTCACCGACAAGGGTCAAGGATTGGGGGGTGGGGCTCTGGCGCCTCCCCCAGGTCAGCAGCAGCCTGGCTTCGCTGGTGAGCATAGCTCTGCCCTGCTGTGTCAACCCACAGCCTCTCTGTGCATGGGGTAGATAGAGCACCCAGGAAAAAGCTGGGGAAAGGGGATGGAGTGGGCCCATCCTTCTTCCACCCCAAGATCTGGGCCCATGCCTTGTTCTATCCCCATGCCAATCTTAGGAACTGGACTGTGTTCACACACACCTCTCTCCCCACATTTTACAAGTAAAGCAACTGAGACTCAGTGGGAAAATGACAGACTAGAAGTCACAGAACCCATACAGGCCCACAGAGCCTGTTTCTCTCTTAGAAGCTCTTAGTCCCTTATGGCCCCCTCTGTGGTTTGGATCCTGGCACAGCTTCTTCAAAGCTGGATGCCCTTGGGTGGGTGACTTCACCTCTCTAAATCACAGTGTCCTGGTTTTCAGAGCTGCTGTGACCATTCTGTGAATGGTGCATCCAGCAGCCAGCCTGCCCCCTGCCATGCCCTGGCATTATTAATCATTGCTGCTACCATTATCACTGGGTGGGCACTGCCCAGGCTGTTGCTTGGGAGAGGCAGATCCAGCCTCCCCACACCTGTGGCTGCAGATAGGCGAGTCCCCAGTAGTTACTGTTTAAACAGGTGGTGGCAGTGGGGGGCTGGGAGGGACCAGGCTGCAGCACCTGGCATGGACAGGCACATGCCACAGGGGCCTCTGCATCAGCCACATGGAACCGGCCTAGCTCTATTCCCCTGACCCCTCCTTGAGAACCCTCCCCCATCACTTCCTGTCAGCTGAGAGGTCGCCTGGACCGGCCTTGCCTCTCTGGCCTGGCTTGCTTGTCCCCACAGTGGGGCAATGGCACATGGAACCGGCCTAGCTCTATTCCCCTGACCCCTCCTTGAGAACCCTCCCCCATCACTTCTTCCTGTCAGCTGAGAGGTCGCCTGGACCGGCCTTGCCTCTCTGGCCTGGCTTGCTTGTCCCCACAGTGGGGCAATGGGAACACTTACCAGCTTCCGAAGGGCTCCCTCGTCCAGCCCAGCTAAGGCCTCGTCTGCCATCTCACTGGCCTCTAGCTTCCTCCGTTCTCTCCCGGTGAGATCCCCAGTGCCTTGGCACCCAACACCAGCTCAGGGGATTCTGCAAGGGACAGACATGAGACAGGCCTGTAAGAGCTTCTAGAAACCAGAGGCATTTGGGCTCTGTGCCTCAGTTTCCCTCTCTAACCCATAAGCATCCATTGCTGTCCTATCCTTGCTATCCCATTCTGTAACTTGACTCCTGGCTGGGAGTTGCCATCTACCCTAGGGTGGTTTGCTGGAAAACTCATCAACCTCACTAAAGAGTAAGGGTCCCTGGTCCCAGCCTTGCCAACTCTGCCGCCAGTCTGCTGTGTGGCCTGGGCTCAGCCCTCATCCTGTCTAAGCCTCAAACAGGGAGGACAGGGACCTGGATTCAGAAGCCAGGACCCAGCAAGGCTCACCAAAGCTGTGCTCACCACCAGGGGGTGCACACCAGTCTCCACAGTTTCCTGCCCCACCCACCCATCCCAAGGGCCTGCCCAGCCCCCATCCACTCCTCAAGCTTGGCTTCTGGCTGCGGGCTGAGCCCATATCCAAGCCCTTGCTGCCACCGCCTCTCTCATTCCCCCAGGTGTTGAAGGTGCACTGTGTCTTCCAATTTTTGGAGCCAGCCCTCTGCACACACCCCTCTCCACTCCTCCCTTTCCTACCCTTGCCCTGATGCCAACTGTCCTGACTTCATGAAGCCAGGTGTCCAGGCACCCGGCAACTCCTGTTAATTCACACACAATTTAATTCCCCAGCTGGAAGGGCCTTCACAAGCTGATCTGCCCAACCTCTGGACTTCAGGCAAACAGAAGATTGGAGAGTGCCAAGGATTTGTCACAGGGGAAAGGAGGAACCCAAAGACTCAGAGGGCAGGGAGGGATTTAATCAAAATCTTGGTCACCTCTGGCTTCTGAAGCCCCCTTCCAAAGTGCCCCCAGGGTCCCAGCATACTCCCTCTTGCCCCACCACTGCCCATCAAAATGGACCCCTAAATCCTGGTCCACCCTCCCAGCACAGCTCTCTCCTTCCTCCTGTAACCCTTATGTCTTTCTGGAATTTGAGAGCCCATGATCTGGCACATCATAGGTGCTCAGTTAATGTATGGTGACTGAAATTGCTCCAGGATTGCCCTCCCCCTTTGATTCATCCCTCAATCATCCCTTCCCCCTTTCCAGAATGGTCACTTGGAGAGTCACCCCATCCAGTGAATGGGTCGGGGGCGGGGGAGGGGGGTCCTAATCCATACAATTGGGGTTTGTCAGACCATTCCCGTTCAAGTCACTGCTTGCTTCTCCCATCCTAGTTAGCTCAGATGGATGTCAACCTCCCACCCTCTGTCTGTTATCAACATACTTTTTGGGGGGGTCAATCCTCCCAAGAGTGTCTCTTAGTGGTCACCAGCCTTAGGTTCTGTGAACACACTGAGTTCCCACAAGTCTTTTCTTCTGAGGGGCAGGGATCCCTAGTGCTAATCTAGGACACCCAGGGGACAGTGAGAATTTTCCTCCTTCTCAAGGATTCCCACCACTGCTCTGCTCCAGTCCCATGGCTCCCTGTCACACAGCCTGGGATTCCCACAAACTAGCGCCCCTGGGGGTCGTGGAGCTTCTCGGAGGTCTGTGGGCGTCCTCCCCCACTGTCTCAGAACTTTAACCCATGGCTTAAAGCTCCGGTGGATGGGTGGGGGCTCTTAGGTGTGGGAGTACCAGAACCCCTGTCCGGGTTCCATCCCCCGACCCGTCTGGGGTCCTCCCCGGGACTGTCCCGAGGTCCGCACACCCACCTCTCAGTCCAGCCTGCTCGGCCGGCACGGACTCGGGTTAGCTCTCTCGGGACCCGACAGATGGATTCGACACGGTGAGGCGGGAGGCGCCGCGACCCGGGATCCCAAGGCCGGCTCAGCAACCGTCTGCTGGACACTGCGAGAGCCGGCCGTCCAGCCGCGCCAGCAGCCCTGCTGGCCACGCCCTCCTCGCCGCGCGAGCCAATCCTCAGCTGGGTCCTGCCCACTCTCGTGCCCCATTGGGGAAATTCAATTTGACGGCCACGCCCTGGTGGGAGGCCCCACCCCTCGCCCGCCAGGTATGTTGGGGATTGTAGTCTTGGGGCTCCTGCCGCGGTGGCTTTGACGGTTCGGGTGGGCGTCGGCAGGGGGACGCAGGCTCTGTGCCAAAGTCGCGGAGGGCGCCCTGAGCCGGGCTTAGTGGCTTTGGATCGTGCGAGTCCCAAAGCCTTCAGGATAGCCCCTCTCCGCTTTCTTTGTTCGTGAGACCATGTCCCCTCCCTCGACTCCACCCCCTCCTCGTATTAGTGCTCAAGCTCGGACGCCGCCCCCAGGCTGCTTTAAGACACCAGGTCTGGGCCACCGCAGAACATGGCCTGAATGACCGGCAGCACCTTGACCCTGTGTTGGAGTACCCGGGACCATCTCAGGTGAAGCAGGATTAATTACACAAGACATCTTCCCCAGCCTACGCACCTTTGCGCAGACATTGTCCTCATCTAGCATGCTTCTCCCTTCCAAGCCCTTCAGAGTCTGCCTCTTGGAGCGCTGGAGTCCTAAATAGGAAATATAGAGTCCAGATGCTCATTCGACAAATGGGGGAAATTGAGGCCCACAGAGAGCAGACCTGCTCAAGACCAAAGAAGGAGTCAGCCAGGGTCCTTAAGATCTCAGACCCGCTGGGGAAAGCCACTTGATTTCCCGTGCTGGAGGCCCTGGAACAATCTACCGGTCTCCATGGAGACCAAAGGGGTGGAGCCTGGGAGGGTGGGGTCTGGAGTCCTGTCTGTCAAATAAAAACAATAATAATATCAACTCATTTAATTTGTACTTGCCACGCACCAGGCATATAATCCCCATAGTAACCATATACGACCAGGATTATGTCCCATTTTACAGATGAGGACAACAGCCGATATGTAGTGAAGCTGTGATTCATGCCCAGAACCTTAGTCCAGAATCTGTGCTTTTCACCACTATAATGTGTGACTGTGGAGAGGTGGTTTGTGAGGTGGTTTCAGCCTGTTGCCCCAGAATAGCCCTGGTCCACATCCCCTGTAACCACCCTCCCATCTAGGGAGAAGCCAGTATCCACTCTGGGACTCTTCCACGGGTCATCTTATTTCATCCCCACATCCCTGAGAGGTGGTTCCATTTTACACACTGGAAAACCAAGGCGCAGAGAGGAAGCGATCTGTCAAGACCACACGGAAGGAGGGCAAACAGAGCCCAGTTTGCAGGATATAGTTCGAGGATTTCGGCCTCTCTACCTGGCCTAGGTGCCATCTTATTCTCCAGAACAGGGGTCAGTGTCCTCCAAAGCCAACTCTGTAGTGCTTCAAACCTCGCGCGACTCTCGGGATCTCTCCTTCGGGCGTGGCACAACCAGGCCCCCTCGTGTTTTCGGGGCCTGCCTAAGTGGTGGCTGTCAGCTCCAGTGAATGACCTGTTTAGTGCTGGCTCTGTCCTCCTCCCACCGCCCCTCCCATCCCCAGCAGGCCGAGAGGAGTCGCACAGGTGAGTTCCTGCGCACGCGTTGATATAACGTCTCGCAAGCACTCACTTGCCCCTGGGGGTACCGAAGGGAAGCGTGGGTCCTGCCCCGCCGTCAAGCCCTTAGGGCCCGGGTCCACCTCCAGACCCGCCTGCCCGCCTTTCTCTTCCTCCCTGCATGCGGAAGGGGGAGGGGTGCGGGGGGAGGGTGGCGGCGGTGGTGATCTAGAGATCAAAGGGCAGCCCGGTATGGTGTTGGGGAAGTTTACAGCCACAGCCCAGGAAAGATTAAACATCGTGTGAGGCATTTACTGAGCACCTTTTGCATGTGAGACGCGGGGCTCCCACTATTGCAAGTTGACCACTTTGCAAGATAAGTGTACCCCGAGTTGAAGCTCAGGGAGTTGAAGGCACCCTGGGCTGGTGGTGGCATTCAAACTTCAGTGGAATTCTGCCTGATGCTGAAGTCTCTTCTCTCCACCTTGCTGTCTCTAGGATGGGTGAAATCCTGGAAGACTTCTCAGAGGAGGTGGTTTGTAAACTGATACTTGAGTGCAAAGAAATCCACCCCACAGAAAAGAGGGGGAAAGGCATGGAAGGATATTTGTGGCAGTGGAACAGTGTGAGCAAAGGCCAAGAGGCTTATGAGTGGGAAAAGGAGGAGAATGGGCTGTTGGTGGAGCAGAAAATGAGGTGGTTCCATCTGTGTAGGGTCCTGAATGCCAGGTGAGTAGGGTAAATGTATTTTGTGGACACTGGGTAGGCCTGGGCCTCAGCCAGCTCATCTGTAAAATTAGGAGTTAGACTGGCCCTCTTCATGCCCTCCTAGGGCAAGGAGCTGTAGCAGAAAGGGTCAGATTCTTCCAGGTCCAACCCTGGACTGGCAGAGTGGGGAGTGACTGGAACAGCTCAGGGGCCAAGGATAATATTTTGCTCCAGAGCCCAAGTCTGAGAATGAATGTTTCACCGAGCTGGTGGCGTTGGATCCCTGAGTCACCCTGGCTTCCCTTCCCTCCAGTAAGGGTCCTGCAGAGAAAGCCCATGGAAGAGGAGTGATGAGTCTTAGCCCTGGATGCACCCCAGGCAAGGCCTTTGCCCTCTTGGAGCCTCAGTTTCCTCATCGGCACAATGGAGGAGTTGTATCTTGTGCTTGAATGTAGCCACAAGTAGTGATGAGGCCAGCTGAGGCAAGGATTTTGGGCTTATGAGGGAATCCAGGGGGCTGCTGGGCAACAGTAGGGATAGACGAGTTAGAGATGGGTCAGAGTTGGGCCTGCAGTTGGGGTGTCACAGCCTAGTCATGTAGAGGGGGAGATGGTATCTGGACTCTAGAAACTTTAGAGAACAAAGCCCTTACATTCTTTGGTATGTGGAGAGGATGGGGAAAGGGAGCAGCCTGGAAGAGGGAGCAGCATGAGCAAAAGAAGGGAGATAAGACTGTGAGGACCTTGTAGGGGAAAAGTCAGGCTGGAGAGGCTGAAACATGGGGTCCCTAAAGGAGAAAAACTGTTTCTTGCTGGGGTTGGCTGGATCCAAGGGCTGTGATCCTCCTTCTCATGAGCAGAACTGGAGGCCCCCAAGGTCATGGCCAGCAGCCCTCGGAGTGGGATTGAGGACCCGTTTGGCAAACCAGTTTGGCAAGGCAATCACCTCCATGATGTCATCCAGCTGCTGTGTTCTCTGGGCAACAGCACCAGACAAACTTCTGGCCTTGGAGGAGGAGAAAGGGGCCTGAGACACCCACTGGGTAGCAATGAACTCCATGAGACCAGCCTCTTAGACAAAGGAGAGTGTTCTGGATGGGCCAGCTTGGACCTCTTGTGGCTTATGGGGAGTCACTGATGCCTGGGTGGGGTCTAGGCTCATGGTGGGGGCATCATGTAATTGCAGTCTGGTGGGTTGCACCCTGGCTTCTGATCACCCTTGTAATACATGTGTGGCAATTTTCTTATCACTATGACCCTCAAAGCTTGAGTCCTGTGACTCAGTTATACAGATGAGGAGACAGGCTCAGTGAGGCCAAGCACTCCATGCACAATTGGAACCCAGAACCTTTGTTCTTAATCACTGTACTCCACCATCCCAGATGGAGCCTTGTCAATTTTTTTAACTAAACCTTCTGTCTACTTGTGAATACAGCAGCTGAATCTTGGCATAACAGAGTCCTAGATATCCATCTCATGGTCCAAATAGGTAATTTGAGTTCCAGAGAGGGCAAGGGACAGGCTTCAGGTCACACAGCAAGTTGGGGGTGGAGGCACTCTGCACCCCAGATTCTTTTGTTTCCTCCTCGTGGCGTGGCACACCCAAGCATGAAATAACAATAATAAGTGACACATACTGAGTGCCTACTATGTGCCATCCACTTGTTTAATCATCACCACAGCCCTGTGAAATAAGTGCTAAGATTATGTCTATTTTACAGATAAAGAAACTGAGGCTCAGAGAGGGGGAGTCACCTGTCTAAGTTGACACAGCATGTTTGTGGTAGAGGTGGGATTTGAACCCAGATTCATGGGTCCTTTCCTCTCAGCAGACCCAGTAAGCCTCATTGGAGGTATGAAGACCTGTTGACAAGAGGGTGGATGCAGACTATGGAGGCTAGCAGTGTCCGATTCAGAGTTTCCACACGGGCCTGGCCTCTCTGGGGCAGGCAGAAAAGTGCTGAGGCTGCAGAAATGCTCTAAACCTTCCCAGAGGAGGTGGCCACGGTGGGAGGGAGTGCTCAGCACCAGCCTCTGAGCCAAGTGTAGACGTGGCGGCTGGGCCAGCTGCAGGCAAGGGAGGGCAGGCGGGGTGGGGCCCAAACCCAAACCCAGCCTCCCAGCCCTGTTCCCAGCCATCCGTCAGCCAGGCCCAGCCCTCTCAGCTCTTCTCGCTCCCCATCTGGATTTGAGACGAGGACGCTGGGCCTAATAGTAGCCAAATGGCAGCAGAGGCAGTGCCTGGAACCACAGCTAGTGTGGGGCTGGGGTCGCCCATTCTCTCATGCTGGCCTTGAACAGGCTTCAGAACTTTAAAAGTAATAGTAAGTGCTTATGAAGTTCATGCTATATGCTAGGTACTGTGCTAAAGCTTAGCCCACAGTCACACATTTATTCCTCATGACCCTTTTGATGAATGGAAAAACTGAGGCATAGAGAGTTAAGTAACTTGCCCCTGATGATAATATCAATTTGGCAGACTCAAATTGCTGAGCATTTACCATGACCCTCCTGGGCACCGTGCTAAGCACTTTTCATGTATTTTCCCATTGATTCCCCACAGCATTATGAGGCAGATCCTAATTTATTTAGATGAGGGAAAAATGAGGCCCAGAGAGAAAACTGACTTGTCTAAGGTCGCACAGCTGTGATGGACAGATCTGGTACTCAAACCCAGGACTAACTTTAGAGAGGTTAAG